GTGCGCATGTCTGTAATTCAACCATCGGCATTGACGACGGCGGGAGCTACAGAGCTAGGTAAGACACATAAACACATAATAAACACGGCTATATATTATATAGACTATTAGTAGAACTACAGAGCTAGGTAAGACACACAAACACATAATCAACACGGTTATAAGTAGAACTACAGAGCTAGGTAAGACACATAAACACATAATAAACACGGCTATATATTATATAGACTATAAGTAGAACTACAGAGCTAGGTAAGACACATAAACACATAATAAACACGGATAGGGTTAGACGGCGGGAACTACAGAGCTAGGTAAGACACATAAACACATAATAAACACGGTTATAAGTAGAACTACAGAGCTAGGTAAGACACATAAACACATAATAAACACGGTTATATATAGACTATTAGTAGAACTACAGAGCTAGGTAAGCCACGTAAACACATAATAAACACGGTTATAAGTAGAACTACAGAGCTAGGTAAGACACGTAAACACATAATAAACACGGCTATATATTATATAGACTATAAGTAGAATAAGTAGAACTACAGAGCTAGGTAAGACACATAAACACATAATAAACACTGTCCTAGAAGTAGAACTACAGCGCTAGGTAAGACATATAAACACATAATAAACACGGTTATAAGTAGAACCACAGAGCTAGGTAAGACACACAAACACATAATAAACACGGTTATAAGTAGAACTACAGAGCTAGGTAAGACACATAAACACATAATCAACACGGTTATAAGTAGAACTACAGAGCTAGGTAAGACACACAAACACATAATAAACACAATTATAAGTAGAACTACAGAGCTAGGTAAGACACATAAACACATAATAAACACTGTTATAAGTAGAACTAGAGCGCTAGGTAAGACACATAAACACATAATAAACACGGTTATAAGTAGAACTACAGCGCTAGGTAAGACATATAAACACATAATAAACACGGCTATATATATAGACTATAAGTAGAACCACAGCGCTAGGTAAGCCACGTAAACACATAATAAACACGGTTATAAGCAGAACTACAGCGCTAGGTAAGACATACAAACACATAATAAACAACAACTGTCCTAGAATGGAGCAAACTACAGCGCTAGGCTAAGACATATAAACACATAATAACACGGC